TTACTAAAAGGCATGGAGGAAAAGTTAAAAGGAAGTGGGAGGTGAGTATTTCATAAAGCTGGAGCAGTGACTAAAAAATAGTACCTCTGTCCTTAATTGCCTATATTTTGTTAAAATGGGATGTTTTTATCCCTTTTTAAAATTTATGTATTTTTGGTAAACTCATGGCAGTAATGACCCAAAACCTCTCCCTGTGTAATCTAGGAAAAGCATACTAGATAACTGATACAGACAGAAGAAGTTGATTCTGTGAGTATCTAGACGCCAAACCATATAGGCCTTTCGAGTTCAAAAGCGATAGTTTGAACATTAACTGGAAATCTTTTGGTACCTAAGGGCAGGGGTCCCCAACCACTGGGCCCTGGACCGGTACTGGTCCGTGGATCATTTTGTACCGGGCCGCAAAGAAAATAAAAATAAAAAATAAAAATAAAATAAAAATGGCGGCTTCCTTCGCCTTCGGTGAATGCTGCTGGGATCAGCTTTGGCTGAGAAAAAGAGGCGAATAGTTATTAAAAGGAGGGAGACACCTGAAGGATGAGGCTGAGGAAGGCAGGGCCGAGAGGCGGGGCTTCTCAGCCATTCTGCAGGGACTTGTCCTGAGTCGCGGAGACAGCAGTGGGCTGCTGCCACCCAGGCTTAGTTTTGAAGGCGCTCCTCAGCCAGGCACAGTTCCTGAATCTGCAGCTGAAACCCTCCGTTTTAAATGTCCCAATAGAAGAGAATATCTGTTGCTCAGGGTTGCAATGAGGAGGCCTTGGCGTTCCCTGAACTTGGTGGTTTGCTGGCGGATGTTTTATTATCCAACTAGGTAACAACATCAGATGTTACCTACTCAGGTAGTGAAACGTCTGCAAGCAAACCACCAAACTCGGACTCCACCCCCCCACCCGGTCCTTGAAAAAGTGTTTCTGCATGAAACTGGTCCCTGGCACAAAAAAGGTTGGGGACCACTGCCTAAGGGCACCTAACAGGTGAGTAACACATGCCAATAACCAGGTTACTGCTCTCAGAATGTTAAAATATTCACGGGTCCTTAGTGCTCTTTGAAAATTTCAGCCAGATCATTCTTTTAAAAAATGGCACACATTAAAAAATAAGGCAGCAGCAGCAGCAGCAGCAGCAGCAGCAGCAAAAAAATAAAAACAAAAAAACACCCAATTTGTGAAAAGTGAGGCCAGGAATTTTAACTTGATGATCATGTGTCTTATTTTGTAAAGAACAATCCTTGGTCCAATTCCACTTTAATAATCAGATTCTAAAAAGATAAAGAAAGTAGCAAAAAATGGAAGATACCCATCCATAAGCATCTTGCCTAGAGAGTGAACAGATGTGCAGAGCTCTGACTCTTCCTTATTATTATGAAATATTTTGAATTTTAATTATAGAATTATTTCTAAATTAATCAGCATCTGGGAAAAGTTGAGTTAACTGCCAACAGCGAAGGAAGGAAGGAAGGAAGGAAGGAAGGAAGGAAGGAAGGAAGGAAGGAAGGAAGGAAGGAAGGGATTTAGTTCCATCAAAAGTTATATAGCCTAGCTGCAAATATCTGTTTCCTAAATCAATAGACAGTCATGTAGCCACCAGTTAGTTATTACAATTCAAAGGTTACGTCTTTTTACACAGCTTTATTTGCTTATGCAAAGATGTTTGTAGTGCAGATAAGGTAACTACCAGTATGATGACTTTACACCTTCATGTAAGTTTTAAGGTGACAGTCCTATCTGACCAAACTGGGTTTTGTATGTCTGAGATAAAAGAAAACTTTTCCTGCAAAACCAGCACAGTAATGGATTTTGCCACCCAGTCATATGTTAAGACGGGGGTAGCTATACAAGTTTAATAAATAGATATGGTATTGTAGTAACAAAATGTGCATCCCCATCCTAATACATCACCTTGATATAAGTTTAATAAAAACCCTGGGCTTTTACATTGCATTGCCAATATTTCAAAGTTCTATGGCCAAAGGGGAAATCTAAAATGTTACCCATTTAGGAGGCTAGTCAACATTTTTACAAACTGTTAATCACTATTAATGTATTTATAACTTAACTTTACATCTAGCTGCAACAGCTCTCCCTAACAGTCAGCTAACCAGCCACATGGGGGTAGGTGTTGTCAAAAGGTCAAATTAGTGGTTCTAGCAATGTGATAAATATTGTATATTTTTTGTAGGTGTATTTTTATTGAAGAACATAAAAAGAAACAGGACTGTTGCAACCACCAACTTTTTTTTTTACCTTCCCTATAGATGCTGTTTCACCTGACACGTTTCTTTTTTGCAAATTTGCTTGTATGCCTAATTATTTTTATGTGTTGGATATTCAAGAGCTAGCATCAAAGCTACTAAAATAGACTTGATTTTAAATAAGGATTCATTTCAAACTTTATTGTGGAAACAACTAGATAAAATGATCAGCTGTAACCTAAGTTAAATCTTATGCTGTGAAATATATAATATGTAATATGAATAAAGTGTAATTCATTGTATATCTAGATCACTATATCCGAAACTTTCTGCTGTTCAGAACTACTAGATAAATATTTGGAAAATGCAGGAAACGCCAAATTAAACACACACCCCTACATTTTTGTCTTTAAAAGCTCAGGAGTTCACATTTTTTTAGCAAGTAATGTAGAGATTATGGTTGAATTTGTGTATTCGATCCCCTGCATTTTAAGAGGATTTTTAAACTAAATGTAAACAGTAATTCATAATTAAACATTAACATCCCATGGCATTGTAGTAACTCATGTTCTTCAATGTTCTTCAATAGAAATTTATTGATCATTACAGCACTAAGATCTTTACTAAAATCCTTTGTTTTGATATTAACTATTTTAGTTTCTAACTCATTCTTTTTGTTACTTGCGTGATGAGACTTAAAGTCTCTTACTACATTCTTGTTCACTATTGTCAGTTTTTTTGAACTGAAGTACTTACTACCTATGTATTATCCACACATGCACTTGCATAAACAAGTTTTTGGCCAGTGATTCATTTTTGGAAATCAGCTGATGGTCAGAATGCAGAGTTCTGAATATTTTAGTGGTAACAAATACCGTAAGATTGTGGTGGATCACTTGGTGAACCTCCATTGATCACTGGTATTGCACAAACCATTCATTAAGCTAGATAATAGATGACATGCCCACTGAAGTCAAGCTTGACTCTAGGTAATTATATGCCTATGTAAATACTATATGTAAATATGCATATATGCAATATATAAATACTGTGATCTTTGCATAATATATGTTGCCATTATGTTTTTCTGGGATTCCACCACCCACCCACCCCCAATCTTCCAGTTGTCCTGGGATGTTCTGGTGGTTTCCCATCTAGGTTCATTCCAGATCCAGCAACACTTAAATTTATCTAGACCAGCCAAAATTGATTAGATACTGTCATCTCCTGTGACAGCTGTTTCCCTTTTTAAAAGATGTCAGTTATAAAACCAGGTCATATAAATTTATTATATTGTAAGATTTATAGGAGAGGAAAAAAAAAGAAATGAATTCTGTTTGGACGCCTCCTCCAACTTCCATCAAACTTAAAAAGTCTACGTAAACAAATATGTTCTGCCAAGTGAAGACAGCATTTGTGGACCGGGAGAATATTCACAAAAGTTAAATTTCAGCTATCACAGATGAAGTTTAGACATTAGGGAAGAAGGCAGCCCCCGTTATTCTCCTATGTAAATGAATGTTCCAGAACAATGGGTTTGCCACAAACTGAAGTCCAGTATATGACCAAATGAAGATTTCTCCTTTAAAATGACTATTCACCACAGCAAAGAATTCTAAACTATGCTCATTCCCCTTTCAGTCATTTAGCTCTCAGATGTGAGGCTACAACAATAAATCTAGCTCCGAGGCAGGGTGTAACTGAGGTATTTCTACTTCAGTCTGATATGTCCAGGATTAATGATCTACTACAGGTAACTAGAAAGTGGTAATAAGAGAATGTTCTTTTCTCTCTCTCTCTCTGTCACACACAGACACAGACACACACACTCTTCAGCTTTCTTTACACCAGGTGGCTCTGCAAAGAAGTATATTCCCAGGTTGGTCCTTGGGACTTTCTGTTTTGCTTCACTTGCAATTGCAGGCCAAAAAGTCCCCCCTCTCCCACCCCACCCCAAACATTGAAATAAACAATAAAAAATCCCCAATGTTACAGGGCAGCTAATAATAGAAGCTCAGCTAATCCGGAAGGAAGCTGAGGGAGACAGTCAGAGGTCACTGCCATTCTGAATCTACGTCAAATAATATATTTTTACAACATCCATTACAAACTGACACTTCCCTGTCCCCTCTATGCTTCTGGAGTCTGTTGGCATTCAGATGTATCCCATCTTCACCATCTTTATATGGTGGTGCAATTAAAAATTAATGAACAGGAAAGCAAAACAAAGCAATAACTAGGAGCATATACACAGACATACTGATAGTCAGTGGAGAAGGCTAAAATCATGCTTTTCATAGGCAACATACATAGGCTACCACACGTTTAACCTTTTTCCTCAAATCTTTTCTCCCTTTTCTTTTTTCTTTCTTTCTTTCTTTTTTGCACAGCACTGCATCCGTCTCCCTCTCCCCTGTCAAGTGTATCCCAACGGAACAAAAGGCGCTAGAATTCCTTCAATGCGTGGTTACAACAACAATAACAATGATGAAGATGATGGTGGTGGTGGTGGTGGCGGCGGGGATGATGATGTATGTTTTAGCCCGCCTCCAACTCTTCTTCCTCCATGTCGAAAACCAATCCCGCCGCTTTTTTATTTTACTGAAAGCTTGCGAAGGTTTTGGGGAGGCAATCAGTGAGGGAGGAGGTGGTCCCGGTTAACCCCACGGTCTTTTTCCAGATCTGCCAAGCCACTTCTGGCAAGTGCCCGGAGAGTTAGAAGGCGAGTCGGGGTTTGGCGGGGAACGGGAGGGGGGGAGGTGTTGGCCAAGGTATCCGCGGGGAGGAAAGGCTAGGTGGGGGGTCTTACCTTGATGCACCGCCACGTTACAGCCATGCCCATCACAGTAGACCAGAGGGTTCTCTGCCCAGCCGCGTTCATCAGAACAGACGCAGCAGCCGCCCACCATCTCCTTCATTCTTCCATAAGTTTCTTTTTTGCTGATTTCCCACCCCACCACCCCCTTGTTGTGTTACTGCTGGCGCGTCTGTTTCCAAGCACGCATTTACTCCTCGTCCTTTTCTTCCTCTTCTTGATCTCGGGCCTTCTCTCCTCCCCCGACCCGCCTTGATATGTAAAAGATATGCCCCCACACAATCCGCTATGACGGGGAAGAAGGCAGAAGGCTCGGACGCCTCCCCCCCGGACGAAAATGCCACATTGTTATTTGCAAAGGGGAGCTTGGCGGCATCTCTGGCGCTGAGCTCGGGCAGACGCGGTGGCTGGTCCCCAGGCACACCGACACACTCACCGACACCCGACGCTCACGCGCGCACACACGCACACAACGTCGCCCTGGCTGCTTGCTGCCGACCGCGCAGCAATTATGGTTCTGAAGTCTTAGTTTCGGGGACAGCCGGCCGGGGCGCGCTGGAATGTAGGGGTGTGGGACCTTTTATTCGGCTTTATTGCTGCCTTTCTCTTCCCCCATTTGCACCCCGCGACCCGCTTTTCTGTGACCATGCCGAAGGGGAGGGGGGGGGCTGCTATTTGTTTCTTTTTCCGGCTTCCTCAAGGCAAGGAGGGGGAGAAGGAGTTAGCATCTAAAGTACGGGAATACTTTCCCTCCCTTTCTCTCTCTTCCGTTTTCCCTCTCTTGTTTATTGTCCAATATGGGGCAATAGACGAGGGAAAAAGAAGAAAAGCGGGGGGGAAGGAGGAGGAATATTACAGGAGGAATATTACACTCGCTTAAAAACCTATTATCTAACGATTGACAGATAAAAGCGTCATCAGCGCCACCTTTTGGCCAAAGCAGCGAATAAACAAATCTTTACGGGGGAGGGGGAAAGGAAAGAACGCGTTAGTTTATATCAATCAATTATAATTTATTTTTGCAACCCATAGGGTATAACATCTACGTTTATACAATGTGCAATAAAACAGAAAACTGTAATTAATAAACACAGTTTAAAATGATATAACATCTGGCTGATAGCCATTCAAAAAAAAATATGAACCAAATGTATAAACATCCCAAAACAGACAAAATTTGAGATAGCTGTGTTGAATCACAAGGAAATATCAAGGAAATTAGAGATACACTTCACTAGGACTAATCAAAATGTCAAAGTAAATTTTTTATAAGTAAATATCTGGCTGAATTCTCACTTTCATTTTGGTTTATATATTGGCTGAAAATTCAGGAAAGTAAATTAGACCAATATGTTGGAGTAGGCATTGGATGAGGTAAAAGATATGTCTTGGCATCTGGGCAGTTGCTCTAAAATGAAATTATGTGAGAGAAAAATGGGAGAGAGAAAATATTAATTCAATCTTGTCCTGGATCTGGATTCTTCTTAAGCATCTATTTGCAGTAGAATAAAATTGATGAGATTTTTGCAAAGAAAGATAAGCGGTGACATGACAGCAGTTTGTAAATCTTTCATGATGAAAAGAAACATGTTATTTTTCCATTTCTTACAACACTAGAATTCAAGTTGCCTGGTAAAAATAAGGAAAGATTAAGAACTGGTGGAAGGAAGTATTTATTGGTGCAACATAAAGTTAAATGATGGAATTTCCCAGCATCAGATTTCATTGTGTCACCCATTTAGATGGTTTTTAAAAAGGACTAATCAAATGTGTGAGGGATGGAATTATTGGTCACTTTTATGGTTCTTTCCCTTCTAATGAACAAAAATACTATCCATTGAGTTTGTAGGAAACTGTATTGCTATGAAACTCACTGCCTCCACTACAGATTCTTAGCTTGCCTGCTGTTCTGGCTTACTGTTGAAATAGTGCTGTTCTGATTACATGTGTAGCACATAATAAGCAAAATGATTGGTTGATTACTCGTTTTACTGTTCTTCTAAGCTTGTCATCAATAATCACAACCTTGTACTAGAAACAGAGCAGGTCTGACTGTAAATTGCATGCATCATCATTATGCTTTTTCTCATGCTGTTCCTCATAAAAAAATGATTGGCATCACAACGACAGTGAGTCACAGGCAGCACTTTATTTAGAATTTGGCAACAAATGCCAACTTCCCAGATACCTCCACATTTTGTTCAAAAAGCAGTTGGGAGGTGTGTGGGGTTAGTCATATCATCTCACTATTATGTTATGCTACCTTGCTTTCAAACAGCAAGGACATAGGGTCAAAGTACTTATTATGCTGTCAGTTGAACTAAAGCACAATTTTGACTTACTCTGCATCATTTTAATTTACTAGCCACTGTTTTTTTTTTCCCCCATCACTCTGTAGTGCAGTGGTCCTCAAACTTTTGGGCACCGGGAACTGTGGTTCTGTGGAGAGAGGTTTTTCTGCGGACCGGAGGGGGCATGGAATTGTGTGCTGCCTGCTTTGCTAGTTTGTACATCCTAGTTGCTGGCATGCCGCAGACTGATGCCTGACCACAAACCGGGAATTGGGATCTCTGCTGTAGTGGATGTGAAATGGCACACACACACACACACCCCTGAAAGGAAAGCTTTTGCATAAAGGTGGACAGAGAAGCAAAAAGGGGATCCCTTTGCTGTGCTAAAAAATACAGATTCAAAAGAAACCACCAAATATCTTCTATGCTTTGTCAGGCAGAAATGGAGTCAGATAGTTAGAAAACCACTTATTGGCAGTTTCAGCTGGTAGTCACATCTTTGGTCCCTGGTCAACTTCAGCTGCATTGCTTTGTCAAAGAACTGGGCACATCACACTGAGAAGGCAATGTGAGAATAATAGCAGCTGAAATTGACCAAGGACTGAAGATGTGATTATGAGCTGAAACTACCAATAAGCACTTCTCTAATCATCTGCTTCCAGTTCTGACATAATGCCTGACAAAGCATAGAAGATATTTCATAGCTTTTGGCTGTTGTTGAATACTATCAGTTTAATGGGAGAAATGCTACTTTTAGCAATGGTATGTATACCTAGAGACAGCTCATGAGAATGAAGTGAAGACAAAGCAAATAATAGCACATCTTAATATGCTACTTAATGTTTCTTAAAATGAATATAAAGATAAAACCAGAGACCTTTTTAAGGCTTAATACAGGGTTCTTCAAACTTGACCACTTTAAGACTTGTGGACTTCAACTCCCAAAATTCCTCTTCCAGTCATATTAGCTCAGGAATTCTGGGAGTTGAATTCCACAAGTCCTAAACTTGCCAAGTTTGAAGACCCTTGGCTAATAGATAAAGAATCTGGAACCTTGATTTTATATATGCTAATAGCAACAATTTATGCACAAAAATGGAAGGATACTTTGATTCCCACAATGGACGAATGGCTGTAAAAGTTGATGGAATTAGCAGAGATAGCTAAATCGACTGCTTTGACTAAAGAAAAGAACACAATTAATTTGTTTCTACTTGGAAACCACTTTTGGATTTTGTGCTTGAGGTAGAAAAAAATTGAAATTTGATTTTGGGTTTTGCTGATTAGATAGGTTTTCTATTATATCCTAATATTTATTTATATTTCTGATTTTATATTTTGATAAACAAATAAAAGCATTTGAACAAAGTATAATATAACTTATTTCATGTGGCTGCCCAGTATATCTTTGACAGGTGAAGCACTCAAGTTAATCAAGAAGTCTTTTGCTACCTTTCCTAATTAGTTTTAATTAGGAAGCAACATCATCCTCTCTATTTTTGCACCTGCTATATTTTCAATTTATTTCATGTATCTGATTACAAAAGCCTTTGTTTCCAAGAATCAATGCAAGGACTTGAGATAACACAGTGCAGGAGGTATAAGGGATAGACCTAATAAGATCGAAATCTTCAATTAGCCATAAAGCTCATAGGGTATTTCCTTTCCTCTCTTGAATCATAAAGTTTTGATGAAGATAAGATGAATTGTGTAAGCCATTTCATTCTCTTGGAAAAAAGGAAATATCTAACTATAACAATAAATGAATAGATAATGCACCTTGATATTATCAGGTAATTTTAGATTTGGAGTTAATAGTCATAAAGGACTGAGCTAATGTTTTTAGATAAGTGTTTTATGTTGGTTCATTCCTCGTACATTTCGTGGTCTCATTTTTTCTTCATTCTGCTAAGTAGAGCTCTTTGATTTTTTAATGTAAAACCCGGTTTTGACTTCCGTATATGTGTGCATGCATGCATGCACGGACATATGTGCTTTCAAGTCAGTGTTGAATCATGATGACTGCCTGGACTAGTCCCTGCAACCTCCTGGCAATTTTTTTCAGAAATTATCTGTCATTACCTGCTTCCTAGAGCTGAGAGAGTGTGACTGGTCATTTAGTTGGCTTTATGCCTAAGGTAGGACTAGAACTTCTGTTCTCCTGGGTTCTGACCTGAGCAGGCCTTAACCACTACTCCAAACTAGCTTTCTGTTTTGACCGTACATTACATTGAATTTGCTATTTTTACATTTACTTGCATGCTTCACACTTGTCATGTCTTATTCATCAGCAGCTTACAATTCAAAAGGTTTGCCATCAATCAGTCCAGCTACAAAGAAATACTTAACTTTTTAGCAACCTCTTAAGATATTTGACAGTGGAATGAATGTATGCAACTCCTCCTCTTTATGTTGCCATGGAAGGAAAAGCTTGGTTTATCACTTATGAATTCCATTGTATTGCATTTGTTTAGAGAGTCTCTACACTTTTGCTCAGATATTCTGTTCTATATTCTGAATAGTTACAAAGAGACTATTTTTGGTGATGGCACTCTAGTTATGCAAAGACATTTCAGAAAAGCTCATCTTTTTGAATATGAACCTTATACAATTTTACTCATTTAGTAATGCTCCTTCCTGTTTGATTTCTAAGCTGAGCTGCTAATTTCTTAATCTTCTTTGAAGAAATCTTTTAATGATGCACTACATTATTTGTGATTTTCTCTTATGAATTTTCACATTTGTAACACTATTTGTTGTATGCTGCAGTTGATGCATTTGATTACTTTTAATTGTAAACTGCATTAGGTATTCCCGGAGTGGCAGTCTTACAAGTTTACTGCATTATTAAGAGATGTCATCTTATTATTGTGGGCATATGGAGGGCATAAGTCTTCAATAAACTAAGGATTATGCTGGTGGGATCTCCCAAGCCAGACAAGCTTTAAATGAGATAATTGAACTAAGGACATAATCATTGTCATTATTATGAACATCATTACAAACATCAAAAATTATCTACCTAATTATGGTACATATCCAATGAGTTTACATTCCTGATTTACAGATATCCTAAATCTCACATTTGCATGCTTTAGTGGAGCTTGCTCCTATTCCAAACTTTCAACATT